ATTTTATAATAAAAAAAATTAAAAAATTACATATGTGAATTATAAATATATATAATGAATGATATTATTGAAGCCACTTGATGGGAAGAGAAGAAGGCACAAAAATAAAATAAGTTCTTAAAACGTAATGATTAGCATGTGTTTTTCTTTTTGGTAGCACCACAAGAGCCAAAGGGTCCAACCTCTCTTTCCTCTCAAATCTACCCTATTGGTGAATCGACATCTCCCCCGACTTATTTTTTTTATTCCTTTAGTCCCTAAATTTTATTTTATTTTATTTTATTTTTAATTTTTTATGTCTTTGAATTTTTTTTAAAATATTTTATATTTCTTTAAACTTTTTAGTAGATTTTTTTAGCTATATTTTTTTAAAATTTATTAATTTATTTGATACAAAATTAGTATAAATTCAATTTTTTAAATTTTGTTTATATTAACTTTTAATTAATTTGTCATATTTTAAATATCTTAATTTACTGTTAAATTTATTATTCTAATATATTAGAACACTTTAATTAATCTCAAAATTAGGTAAATTTTAATTAATTTTTCACTTTTCACTTTTTAAAATCTAATCCAAGTTTTAAGAATTATAAAATAATTCTTTTTTTTTTAAAGTTCTATATATATATATATATATATATATATTGTAATTTTTAAATAACTAGTAGGATTTTGTTTGTTTGTGTGTCATTCATTTGGCATTTAAATGGCAGTAGGTCGTTAGCTTAGCTTTGATTACACCATTAAGCATCAACCCCTACTTTTTTTTTAAAAAAGCGGAATCTTCATTATGAATACCCCAATTAATCTTGGTATTACCGTCAAACACTTTTTTTTTTTTTTTTAAATTATTTTATTGCTAAAATATATGGTTAAAAAAATATCCACATCTATTGTACTAGATATATTTTTATTTTTTTTATAATCAAAATAAAAAATGAATTCTTTTTACTATGAGGGCGATGCTCGAAACAAACCGCTTCTCCACACGATTAGGTCAGGAGGCATTGCCTGCCTTCCATTATTTTTCAATTTTTGGTATGTAATCGACATGTTACGATTCCCCTTGCAGTCTATTTTTTATTCATTCATAATGTTGTTAGGAACCACGAACGTCCATAATAGTATGATATTATTCACTTGAGTATAAGCTGTCGTTACTTTGTTTTTGATATCCCCTAAAAACCTTATACCAACAATCCTCCCCTCGAACAAAATATACCATAGAGCCTCACCTTAATCGAGGCCCTACTCGTTCTCTGGAGTCGAATAAAATACATCCTTTATTCGACACTTAAATCACTTTTGACTGTAATTTTGAGACTCACAACTTCTTAGTTCGACATTGAAGATTCTGTTGACATGACTGAGTTAAGGGTATGACTCTAATACCATATTAAAAACGACGTACTCCTTTATTATTTATCATAAATTTGTGTAAATTTCATTAAATTATGGCAACATGTATTGTTTAGCTTCTACTCAACAATCTTAACCTTTAAACCAATCACAGATCCATTTTTACTCTTAAAAGTATCATTTTGATGAAAATCTCTAATTAATTAATAAGTGGGTCGTTATTGTTATTTCGAGACGTTTCTTCTAATTAAATTATTTGATGTAATAAACGTAAAAATGAGCTATAACATAAACTATGCAACTAAGGCAAATGTGATCGTCATCGTCTAAATATTTAATGTACGAAAATAAAATATCACTTTAGTCTCTATACCACGGGTTTCGTTTTATCTAAGTATGTGTAGGTTAATGTAATAGTCCAAGCCCACTACTAGCAGACATTGCCCGTTTTCACTCGTTACGTGTCACTCTCAACCTCACAATTTTTAAAATACGTCTACATGAGAGAGGTTCCCCTCTCCAACTAATATAAGATCTCATCGTTAAAATATCATTATGATCTCTATACCTCGAGTTTCATTCCATTTTAGTCCATACACTAAATATATATATATATATATATATATTTAATTTAGTTCAATAACAATAATTTTCTTAAATAAAATACGAAAATCAAAAATTACCCAACTATAGATGTTATTTCAAGATTTATAAAAAATATTAAAACAAAAATAAAACAAGTCGTTAAAATACGAGAACCAATATAATATAATTTTAACCATTATTATTATTTCGAGTTCAACTTAACGAGTTCAGAGGAAGAAATTCGATGCATTTTAGCTTTTTAATCACAACGAAATATGTCTTAACTAATTGAGTTATGCTCAGATTCAATAGTCATTTATTTATTTATTTATTTATTTCTCTATCTTTCGAGTAATGAAAAAGACTATAATTAACCTTCTTTTTATAACTTAAAACCAAAAGGGTGATCTGGTTGGCAAAAGTGCAGTGATATTGATATATATATCACCAAAAAACAGAGACTTTGCACCAAACCCTCTCTCTCTCTCTCTCTCCTCCCTTTCTCTCTCCTCTTTTTTTTTTTCTTTTTTCTTTTTTTGTTAATCTTATTTATCACTCAATTTGAGAGTCCTTCAAGCAAGAAAAGAAAGATAGAACAATGATGAAAATGAATTCTCTGTTGAGGAAATGCAAGAGCCTTTCAAGGCAATTGGGGAGGTCCTCTTCATACAGCAGCTTGAGGTCAAAATCCACAAGGGAAGATCTATGGGTTTGTGAAAGAACGATGGAAGAACACGAAGAACACGAAGAACGCGAAGAACACGAAGAACGCGAAGGGTTTGAAAAGGTGAGTGGCAGTAATGTAATTATCTATGTTGGGAGTACAAGGAAGCGATATACAATAAGTTCAAAGTATTTGAGCCATCCTTTGCTTAATGCTCTTATTGATAAATCAAAACCTCCTAAGGGTAATGAAGAAGATGATGATGAGTGCATTTCGGTGAGATGTGAAGTTGTTCTGTTCGATCATCTCTTGTGGATGTTGGAGAATTCTGATCCGAATATTTGTTTTGATTCTAATTTGGAGGAATTGGCTGAGCTTTATGTGTTTTGAAGTTCGGAAAATTACTCGAGCTCGAATTGGAATTGGAACCGGCCCGAGAGAGAGAGAGAGCGGTTGTTTCTCTTTTGAGCTCGTTCGGTACGTATTAGGGTTTCGTTGGTAACTCTTATGTTTTTTTTTTTTTTTTTGTAATTTCTTCGTCTTGTATATCTACTTTTTGTAATCAGAATTGTATTTATTTGTAGTTGTTGACTGTTTGTTCTTGTTTTCTTTGTGATTCGGTTGAATAAGTCGAGAGTGAATACGAGTTTAAAAATACTCAAAGTATAAAATCCACGTGGGTCGTGTACGTGTCTCAATTTTAGTCTCAAAACCATTGACTAAGGGGTCTAAGAATCAAATCTCCACCCTTACACATTGGATTCAAAATACGCCCGTACGCGCAATATAAACCCCTTGACCGAGAGGTCTAAGACTCGAATCTCCACCCTCGCACATTAGACTCGCAATATGCCCACATATACAACACAAACCCTTAACCGAGAAGCCTAAGACTCAAATCTCCACCCTGTAGCATAAACCCATGACTAAGAGGCCTAAGACTCGAATCTCTACCCTATAGCATAAACCCTTGACTGAAAAGTCTAAGACTCGAATCTCCACCCTGTAGCACAAACACTTAACCGAGAGGTCTAAGACTCGAATCTCCACCCCATAGCATAAACCCTCGACCGAGAGGTCTCAGACTCAAATCTCCACCCTCACACATCAGACTCAAAATACGCCCATAAACGCAACACAAACCCTTAACCGAGAGGTCTAAGACTCGAATCTCCACCCTCACACACATTGAACTCAAAATACGTACCGACACACGGTTTTTCGCCAAATCGTTAAAAAAGAAAGAATTAAAGGCATTGAAGTACCATTTTTCCCTAAACAAGTAATCAAATCCAACTATTACTTTTTCATGAAATAGTCCAAGATTCATCTTTGCCTATAATACTTATATGTGTTACCAAACTTATAATTGAGTAAATAAAATCCCATATTAGGAACAAATGATGCTAACAACCCAACTACTTAAAAAATTATTATAAATGGAAATTTTATCATATAAAATATATTTTTTTTAATTACTTAGATAAATAAAGTAGGGGCTAAAAATAAATCCAACCCTTCTATTGCCTAATTGGCCTTAAAACTATTTATATATTTAAAAATAAATAAATAAATAAATAACCAATTTTTTAACGGCCTTATTTCTGCACCATATTCACATATTTGGAATCTAAAAGCTTCATTTATTTTTAATTTAATATATACATATATTAATGAAACTGCAATGGGCCGTTTCTTAAAAAGGGTCCATTAAAATTTTTATTTTAAAATTATTATTATTATTACTCGGGTAATAGTCCAAGCCCACCGCCCGTTATGTATCGCCGTCAGACACCCCCTTAGGGTTCAACGTCCTTGGGGGCACAGTGTCCTCTGACATATCGCCGTCAGCCTCACGATTTTAAAAGACGTCTACTAGGGAGATGTTTCCTCACTCTTGTAAAAAATGTTTCATTCTCGAGTAAAACTACAACCTGACTGGGCTGAGACCTATTAGATGAACTTCATCATGTCTCATGCCTTCGCTTTGGACTTCCCCAAGAGGCCTCATTTCACTGATTATAAACCAATGATTATTCCCTAAATTAGCCGATGTGAGACTTTTATCCAACTATCATCCCTCGAACAAAGTACGCCTCCCCTTAATCGAGACTCGACTCCTTTTCTTTTAGAGTCTTTTGTTCGACATTTAAGAATTTTATTGGCATGACTAAGTTTAAGGCATGACTCTGATACCATGTTAAATGAACACGACTTTCACAATGGTTTGATATTATCCACTTTGAACATAAGCTCTCGTAATTTTGTTTTGAAATTCTCCAAAATGCCTCATTTCAATAAAAATAGTATTTGATTATAAACCCGGTGACAACTAAATAGTGCCTTCTGACATGAACACAAAATATATAGAATCGGCGGAAGAAGGCAATCACTGTGGACACGTCTCCCTACCATCGCCTAAGCTTTGTTTGCTTAGCGAATTAAAAAAATGCGCGCACTTACTCCCTTAACTTTACCTTTTTCATGTAAAGTCTTCTCTTTCAAACCTTCACTTTTCAATGTTTATGCGCAGAAGAAGCCTCTGTCCTTGTCTTTTCTCTGCTCCAGCTGAGCTCAGCTGCAGTTTTCTGTCTATATTCCTGTCTCCGACCAAAATCCATGCTCTAATTTTGCTTAAAGCTTCAATGGGTTAGCCGTTTTTCAAACCATTTCACCCTAAACTCAGCTCCCTGAGCTATCCTCTTCAAATTCCTCATTGCTTGGAGTGAGTTTTAGCTCTCTTTTTCCCTTTGTTGTTTACTTGGTTATGCGTTGTTTTGATTGTTTCTGATGGTTTGATTGCTGGTTTCTGATGGTTTGATTGCTGGTTTATGCGTTGATTTGGGTATTATGATTGGTAGGATGAACTCGAGTTCTTAATTATTTCATCCTTGATTCGTTGGTGTTAATAGTTTAGGTGTTGAACTTCGAGAATGAAATTAACATATGAACTTACATATGAGGTAGTGTTATAAAAGATTGTGTATGATTCATCGGTTAGATCACACGTCGGGTTGGAGAGGGGAATCGAGCATTCCTTGTAAGGGTGTGGAAACCTTTCCTTTATAGACGCGTTTTAAAACCGTGAGGCTGATGGCAATATGTAACAAGCCAAAGCGGATAATAGTTATTAGCGGTGAGTTTGAGTTGTTACAAATGGTATTAGAGACGGACACTGGCCCCAAAGGGGGTGGATTGTTAGATCCCATATTAGTTGGAGAGGAGAATGGAATATTTCTTATCAGGGTGTGGAAACCTCTCCCAAACAGGCATGTTTTAAAACCGTGAGGCTGATGACGATATGTAATGGGCCAAAGTAGAGAATATTTACTAGCGGTGGGTTTGAGGTGTTATAAATGGTATCAGAGCCAAACACTGGGCTGTGGTGCGAGCGAGGATGCTGGCCCTCAAGGGGAGTGGATTGTTAAATCCCACGTCGATTGGAGATGAGAATAGAGCATTTTTTTTATAAGAGTGTGGAAACCTTTCTCTAATAGACGCGTTTTAAAATTGTGAGGTTGACGGCGATACGTAACAGGCCAAAGTGGACAATATCTACTAGTGGTGGATTTTGGTTATTACAAATGGTATCAGAGGCACACACCAAGCGGTGTGCCAACGAGGGCGTTGGCAGACAATATCTACTGGTGGTGGATTTGGGCTGTTACAAATGGTATCAGAGGCAGAGACCGAGTGGTGTGCCAATGAGGACGCCAGCCCCCAAGAAAGTGGATTGTTAGATCCCACGTCGATTGGAGAGGGGAACAGAGCATTCCTTATAAGGGTGTGAAAACCTTTCCCTAACAGATGCATTTTAAAACCATGAGGCTGACGACGATACACAACGGGCCAAAACGGACAATATCTGCTAGCGGTGGGTATGAGCTTTTACAAATTGTATCAGAGCCAAACACTGGGCGGTGTGCCAGTGAGGACGTTGGCCCCCAAGAGGGTGGATTGTTAGATCCCACATCAATTGGAGAGGGGAACAGAGCATTCCTTATAAGGGTGTGAAAACCTCTCCTTAACAGACGAATTTTAAAACTTTGAGGCGGCAATACATAATGGGACAAAGCAGACAATATCTACTAGCGGTGGGTATGAGCTTTTACAAATGGTATCAGAGCCAAACATTAGGCGGTGTGCCAGCGTGGACGTTGGGCCCCCAAGAGGGTGGATTCTTAGATTCCACATCGATTGGAGGGGGGAACAGAGCATTTCTTATAAGGGTGTGAAAACCTCTCCCTAACAGACGCATTTTAAAATCGTGAGGCTGACAGCGATACATAACGAGCCAAAACGGACAATATCTACTAGCGGTAGGTATGAGCTGTTACAAATGGTATAAGAGCTAGACACCGAGCGATGTGCCAGTGAGGACGTTGGCCTCCAAGGAGGTGGATTGTTAGATCCCACATCGGTTGGAGAGGAGAACAGAACATTTCTTGTAAGGGTGTGGAAACCTCTCCCTTAACGATAGTTTTACGGGCTCTTCCTTGTTGTTCCATCAACCGGTTGTTTTTCTTTCAGGATTGGTTATTTTCTTTTCTTTTTCTATTTGTATCATTAGGTGATAATGGAGCAAACTAGACGCCATAACAGGATTAACTGCTCTGGTTCAACTCCATCAGAGGAATCAGCTCTGAATCTTGAAAGAAATGGCTGCAGTCACTCAAATTTACCTTCTTTCAGCTCACCTACACTTCAGCCATTTGCATCTGCTGGACAGCATTGTGAGAGCAATGCAGCTTACTTTTCATGGCCGACCCCTATCCGGATAAGCGTCGGTACGGAGGAACGGGCAAACTATTTTGCAAATCTTCAGAAAGGGGTGCTACCGGATATCCTTCATCCGTTACCAAAAGGGCAGCGGGCAAACACGTTACTCGAGCTCATGACGATACGAGCCTTCCATAGCAAGATCCTGCGTTGTTACAGTCTCGGAACGGCTATTGGATTCCGTATTCGAAAGGGTGTGCTGACCGACATTCCTGCTATTCTTGTTTTTGTTTCCAGGAAAGTTCATAAGCAATGGCTTAGTCCTATTCAATGCCTGCCCACTGCCCTGGAGGTCTGAAGCTGAAGTCCTTTTACTTTGTAGTCAAGTTTCTTCCTTACCTCATGGTTGCAAAGTAGGAGTGTTTTTAGTTTCACTTTGATCTTTAATGAGTATGCTGGATTCTTTTCAGGGGCCGGGCGGTGTGTGGTGTGATGTGGATGTTGTAGAATTTTCGTATTTTGGTGCACCGAACCCTGCTCCTAAAGAACAGTTGTACACCGAAATTGTCGATGATCTGCGTGGCTCTGATCCGTGCATTGGCTCGGGTTCGCAGGTATTTTTGTGTTTCTTTGCAACTAGGGACCTAAGAACTTGCTATTATATGGAAAAAGACATCTAAACGGCTTAAGAAAAGGGGGAAAGTTTGAGAGAACGATTGGCAACGGGCACGAAATATGAGATTTTCTACTAATCTTGTTCGTTTCTACTTGAATCGTGTCCCCCTTTATTGGAAGCTACTAATATTTGATTTTCAGAATGTCGTATTTGTGAGATCCCACATTGGTTGGAGAGAGGAACGGAGCGTTCCTTATAAGAATGTGGAAACCTCTCCCTAATAGATGCGTTTTAAAATTGTGAGGCTGACGGTGATATGTAACGGGCCAAAGTGGACAATATCTACTAGCGGTGGACTTGGGCTGATGCAAATGGTATCAGAGCCCGTCACTGAGCGGTGTGCCAGCGAGGACACTGAGCCCTCAACGGGGGTGGATTGTGAGATCCCTCATTGGTTGGAGAGGGGAACGAAGCATTCCTTATAAGGGTGTGGAAACCTCTTCCTAGCAGATGCATTTAAAACCGTGAAGGTGATGGTCATACGTAGCGAGCCAAAGCGGACAATATCTACTAGCGTGGGCTTGGGCTTGGGCTGATTAAGAAATATGAACATAAATGATCATCAGGATTTTTGGCTCACGTTATAATCGTTTCGAATGTTATTACATGAAGTAGCCCTTTTATATACTTGAAATTGAGGGATACGTCTTGAAATGGTGTGCCTCTTAATATGTCTAGTATCACGGTCATGTTTGTCCAAGGCATGTTGCCCGTGGCTGCATGCCCATGTCATGCCAAACCCTTTATTTGCTTTCACAAAGTGCGATTGTGACACCTAGCAACCGTTTATTTGAATTTAATTCCACCTCATCAGGTGGCCAGCCAGGAGACTTACGGAACCTTGGGCGCTATAGTAAGGAGTCAAACGGGCAGTCGACAAGTTGGTTTTCTCACAAACCGTCATGTCGCTGTTGATTTAGATTATCCGAACCAGAAGATGTTTCATCCTCTTCCACCGACACTCGGGCCTGGGGTGTATCTTGGTGCGGTAGAGAGAGCTACTTCGTTCATCACGGACGAGCTTTGGTACGGAATTTTTGCTGGCATAAATCCAGGTAATACAGTTCATGCCAAAACAAAAGATCATTATATAGTGACAGTGTTATTGTTCCATTTTCATCTCGCCAAACGTTAATAGCTCGGGTGCACGTATTCTAATTTTGTTATATTGCAGAGACGTTTGTACGGGCAGATGGGTCGTTCATTCCTTTTGCTGATGATTTCGACATGTCGACTGTCACTACATCTGTAAAAGGTGTCGGAGAGATCGGCGACGTGAAGTTTATCGACTTGCAGTCGCCTATCAGTACGCTCATAGGGAAGCAGGTTGTGAAAGTTGGAAGAAGTTCTGGCTTGACGACAGGAACTGTGTTGGCCTATGCTCTCGAGTACAACGACGAGAAAGGAATATGCTTCTTAACCGATTTTCTTGTCGTCGGTGAGAATCAACAGACTTTTGATCTCGAAGGAGATAGCGGTAGCCTCATCATTTTAAAGGGTGAGAATAGAGAGAGCTTGAAACCGATCGGGATCATATGGGGTGGAACGGCTAACCGGGGTCGACTTAAGTTAAAAGTCGGCCAACCTCCTGAGAATTGGACGAGTGGGGTCGATCTCGGGCGCCTTCTCAACCTGCTTGAACTTGATCTGATCACAAGTGATGAAGGGCTCAAAGGTTAGGACTTTAAAAGCTTCTCCTATCCATTCTCTCTTTTGGAGTGTTGTTGAAGACTTTCTTCCAATTATGTTAGGGATAAAGTAGTGTGTGCCTAAGTTCTACTATTTAAATTTTTTTCTTTTCTTATCAATGATTGGTTGCACACACGTAACAATCCTCCCCGACCCCTAAACCGCCCCTTGAATTCATTGGAGTCTTTTCCGTAACCGCCCAAGCCCACCGCTAACAAATATTGTCCGCTTTGACCTGTTATGTATCGTCGTCAGTCTTACGGGTTTAAAACGCGTCTATTAGAGAGAGGTTTCCACACCCTTATAAGGAATGCTTCGTTCTCCTCTCCAACCGATATGAGATCTCACAATCCACCACCCTTGGGAGTCTAGCGCCCTCGCTGGCCCACCGTCTGGTATCTGGTATCTGGCTCTGATACCATTTGTAACAACCCAAGCCCACCGCTAATAGATATTGTTCGCTTTGGCCCGTTATGTATAATTGTTAGCCTCACAGTTTTAAAATGCGTCTACTAGGGAGAGGTTTCTACACCCTTATAAGGAGTGTTTCGTTCCCCTCTCCAACCAATGTAGGATCTCACGTTCTCTTATCTGGAATGACTCATTTTCTGTCTAGTAGAACATGCGTTTGATAGCACTTCAGTATGGATTACGACGTTAGATGAATGACATTTAGATCTCACATCGGTTGGAGAGGAGAACGAAACATCTTTATAAGGGTGTGGAAACCTCTTCCTAGGAGACGCGTTTTAAAAACCTTGAGGGAAAGCTTAGAAGGGAAAGTCTAGAGAACAATATCTACTAGTGATGGGCTTGGGCTAGTTTCACTCTTTTGGCGATAAATATTTTTGTTATGTTTCTTCATTACTATATGCAGCAGCAGTGCAAGAGCAAAGAACCGTCTCAGCGACGGTTATCGGCTCGATTGTTGGAGACTCCTCTCCTCCCGACACAACGCTACCAAGGGAGAAGAGCGAAGAGAAGTTCGAGCCATTGGGTTTTCAGATCCAGCATATGCGTACAGAAGTAGAACCTTCTTCAGCCAAAGACCAATCGTTGCTCCTGGAGACCGAGTTTCATCTCGAAGCTGGAACGAGCACGGCTCCCAGTGTAGAACATCAGTTCATTCCAAGCCTCTTCAGTTGTTCTCCCTCCCATCAAAACAGCTCTCTGGTTCGTGCCGTTTCCCAGAACCTATCTTCGCTTCGGAACGACTGCGAAGATATTTGCGTTTCGTTGCAATTGGGCGACCACGAAGCCAAGAGACAGCGCTTGGATGGTTCTGTTTCCATGGAAGAACTGAAATAGATCGTCCATGTAAGAACTGTTGGTGTTTGTTAAGATTTTCAGTTCACTTGCTCAAACTGAAATAACTGTATTTTGAGCTGTATGCATTCCCCTATGGCTGTGGAGTTCATAATTCTTGGCTTTGGTATTCATTTGAATTCTGCTTTGTTGGTCAAAGTTATGTTCGAGTATTAATACACAAAAAAGAGACACGTACAGAATTTGGGTCATAATTTCAAAAATACCCTTTTAACCGTAGAAAAAATGTTTAAAAAATAACATTTGAATTTTTAAACGTTTAAAAATTTTAAAAACTTTTAAAATAGCTCGAGACTTATTTAAAAACTTAAAAAATATCTCTATTAATTTTTTTTGAAAATTTAAAAATATTCTTATAATTAGTGTTAAGTTTTAAAAATACTTATAAACTTTAAAAAATAACATTAAAAAGTTTGGAAATAATTTATGAGATGTTGATAGATAGTTTTCGTTATATATTGACGATATTTTTTTTTTATAAAAGGGTGTTATTGATATTTTTAAAATTTTATGGGTATTTTTTGACCGATAAAATAGATTTTTGAATATTTTAAAAATTAATGAAAATTTGTAAAGTATTTATTAAATGCTATTAAAAGTTTAAGAATATTAAAATACTAATGGTTTATATAAATAAATAATTTTGATTTTTTTTTTAAGTTGTCGATATTATTAAAACTTTTGAAAATTTATAGATATTTTAGAGATAAATTACGAAATTGAAGGTTATTTTAGTAATTTAGCAAAAATTTTATATGGCGCCAAAGTAAAAAAAATTTTGGTCCATTCGGTTCCGTACGAATACGTTTCGACCATTTCTGTGTCGCTTCTCTCTTCAATATCTCTAAATCCCAAACGAGACGGGTTTAAGTTAGGGTTTCAAATTTCGCTCTGCAGCTACTGCCGGCCATGGCTAAACCAAGCAGAGGCCGTCGTTCGCCGCCGTCGGGTTCGGGATCCTCACGTTCCCGCTCATACTCCGGCTCTGGTTCCCGCTCCAGCTCCCGCTCGCGCTCCAGGTCTGCATCTGTGTCCCGCTCCCGCTCTCGTTCCAGGTCCATTTCCTCGTCTTCGTCTCTATCTCGAAGCGGTTCTTCTCGAAGCCGAAGCCCCGCTCCTCAAAGAAAGAGGTTCGTCTTTCTTTTGAGCTTGCATTTTTCGTTCTGAGGTCTTGCATTTGGTGCTTATTGGTTGTCAGTGTGTGAGGAAGTATCGGAATTAGGTATTCTATGCTTGGGAGGTCGGTCGATTATGCATTTTCTTTTTTTTTTTCGCTGTTGATTGGTTTTTCTTATATTTATTCGAAGGCATGTTTTGGAATCATTACGTTATCGAGAAACAGACGCGCTCCATATACCAAAATCCGTTTTTATGCGGTCATTGTATATCGCAATCACATCTTCATTTGTTTTTCAGTCCGAATGAAACAGCTCGGCGGACTCGCGCTTCACCTCCACCAGCTAAACGAATTTCTCCGCCACCCAGGTAATAATACCTCCGTCTACAGTTAAATCCAACTTCTCATTTTTTATCATCTTATTGACATTTAGTCTCTTCATTATTTGTTCATGACATGCATTTTCCGACAAGTCTTAACATTTATACTTTGGCGCGGTTTTTTATCCCCGCCTTTTGTTAAAGACTGCTTCCGAGCCTCTTCAATGGTTGTTTTTCTGCTGTTTGTTTAGTAAGTTACAAATTATGGATGACAAGGGAACAATTTCGCTTTCAAAAGAAGGTCAAAGTCTAAACCAAAGGAGTTAAAAGAATCCAATTGGTCAAAAGTGTAGAGAGACCATAAGATTTATAAAGGAAGTGCATTTACCCAAAGACGTTGTTTGGAAGTAAATTTGCTTAAAATAATGATCAAAAGTGTTGTACTTATCTTGAAAGAGATTATGGTTACGTTCATTCCATGTTGTCCACAAAAAAATCCGAAATGCATCCAAAGAACTCCCCCCCTCCCAAAAGAAAAATGTAACCTTCTTTGGATGAAAATCTGTCCATATCTCTCCTCAAAGAGGATGCAGATCTGTTTCGAACAAACTGAAAAACAAAGAAGATAAGATTTTGATGTATTTACCTCTTAAAAATCTGTCCATACTATTTTTTGAACTTAAATATGTTTAATATATTATTTTTTATTTTATTCTAAGAAGCTCATTCTTCCTTATCATTTAGTCAGTTAAAGCATGGTTTGATTTAAATTCCTTGACTATTTGTCGAAGCATTAAAAAAATCTTCGAATTCAATACTTTTTCAGAACTGTGGTGTTACTAGTTCGTTATTTTCAACTTTTAATCATTTTTTGCCCTTGTTGAACTCAAATGTGATAAAGAATGTTCTATTAGCTTTAATTGTCTTGCAACTAAATTTTATCTTAGTAATCTATAATCACTTGCAAATGTATATGTAATTGACTATTTCAAAGCTGACATCTGCATTTTTTTAATACCAATATTTTCTTTAGTCATGCATCTGTATTATCAGCGATTTACATATAATGCTTTCATTTTGTGATATTTTCCTTGCCTGTCAGTTGTATTTATATAATTTGCTTATCACGCTGTCAATTGATTTCAGGAAACCATCTCCTGTACGCGAGTCACTTGTTCTTCACATTGATGCACTGAGTAGGAATGTCCATGAGGGTCATTTAAAAGAAATCTTCAGTATGGTTTTTCACTCGCTTTATTTAGCATTTAAACAATTATTCTGTTGGATAAGTGCACTTATTTCTTCAGATTGTTCTTTTTTTAAAAGTTACAAGTAAAATTCATCAATTAAAACCGAAGAGTAAGACAAAATAAAATCTTATTTCAACCTTCAATCACATTATGTGAAAGATACAACACTTTGACTTCATGAACCTAGTATTTTGTCTTACAAAAAAAGACTTTGTGTAAACGTATGTATTTATGTATTAGATTCAATTCAACCTAGCCTGTTTATTGGTAATGATCATTGACCGTGTTGTTTTGTCCTCAACAATTGAGTAATTTGTCTTATCAATTACTCTTCATCACTGCATGCTCATTCCTTCCTTTCCTCTCGACTGTTTTGAAATTATAGACAGTTCGTTTTCATGAAATTTTTTATCCTCATTCAATTGAAGTGATCCCCTTAAATATGATTTTTCCTCCAAAAGTCTTTATCTATTTAGTTAGGATTGATGATATTGGATTGAATAGGTAATTTGTTATTTTATAAAAAAATTGTAACTCTTATGAATTTCCTTTTTTTTTTTTTTGCTTGATACCCTTATAGGTAATTTTGGTGAAGTAGTCCATGTTGAGCTGGCAATGGATCGCACAGTGAGTCCTTACCATGCATATTGTATTTGAAGAACTTTTTCTTGAATAATATATTGATGCATCTGTTTTAATATTTACAGGTCAACCTTCCTAAAGGATATGGATATGTTGAATTCAAAACAAGACCTGATGCTGAAAAAGCCCAATTGCATATGGATGGTGTATGTTTTTCTTAAATGTTCAAGTACTTGAAGTACATCTATTGATAATTTCTCATAACTGGGAAATGATTGTCATGGTTGGCTGAATGTAGGCCCAAATTGATGGGAATGTTATTCGAACAAGATTTACATTGCCTCAAAGACAGAAGATCCCAACACCTCCAAGGACTGTAGCAACCGCTCCAAAGAGAGATGGTCCTAAGCCTGAAAATGTTGGTGCTGATGCTGAGAAGAATGACATGAAAAGACAGAGAGAACGTATAACTCTCAATTATTATATATTTTTCCATGTTCAACTGTTTTTGCCTATTATTCTATTCTATTTTTCATGAGGATATGTTATTTTAGTGATTTATGTCTGGTTTGTCACATCAGCTTCACCTCGTCGAAAGCCTCCTTCTCCTAGAAGACGCTCGCCTATTGCTCGACGAGGTGGGTCTCCTAGAAGACAACCCGATTCTCCTCGCCGCCGTCCAGAGTCTCCTCCGCGTCGCCGCTTAGAATCTCCCCCTAGAAGGAGGCCTGCATCACCCATGAGAGGTTGCCGTTCTCCATCGCCTTTGGCAAGGCGACATAGATCTCCTCCAAGGTTGACCATCATCCCCCCACTCTTCAACCCCCCAGCCTCACACACACACACACACACACACACAATCTATCTCCTTTCCTGTAAATAGTGGGAGCATTAACATTCTTTAACTTCGGTTGAATAGGCCCTCTCCAAGAAGAATTCGTGACAGTCCTGTTCGAAGACGTTCACCACCCCCTCCTAGGCGCCGGTATTACACATTTGACTGTTATGAGATATCGTAGTATTTTTTCTTGCAGTTTATTTGAATGGTACACAGACATGTTTATTGTTTCTAACTTCACAAATCTTCATATAATGACAAGGTGAACTATTTATGACTTACTGCACGTGTTAAGTTTAATCTTATTGTTTCTGAGTTAAGAGTAAACGTCTGGAGAGTATTGAATTATGCAGGAGCATATGTTATTATCAATTTTTATTTTGAGCCTTTGTTTTTAGAGTGTGTTTCTTTTATTTTTAGATTTCCAGCTACATCAGGTATTTTGTAGAATAAAAATTGCATCAGGTAACTGTGGTTTTTGGGTGATCCGAGCAAATTCAAAATAATGCTATTTCAGACTTAGAATGAAGTAGCAACCTGAGTTACTCTTGATGTAACTATTTAAAACTCTACTTGCTTCCATTATGGTACAAAGGTGTTCCTGTAGTTTAATCTTAGGCATTAGAAGAATGGTGACTGGGGGCATGATTACTTTCTAATGTTTGAGAAATTTAAGCATTTAAGCATATGGCAGTGGGAGCTTTTAATTGCTTGTTCACTATGGTTGACCCATGGTTTTTACTTGAAAATGATGTAGTCTGACTCAGTGGTCTCAGTTATGTTTTTGCTTAGGTATATGAGCGTTACTTAACTAAATTATGTTTCTTTCAGTACACCGCCTCGACGTGCTCGTAGTCCTCCCAGAAGGTCTCCAGTAGTTCGCAGAAGGAGCCGTTCACCTATTAGAAGACCAGCTCGATCACGTTCCCGATCATCTTCACCACGGAGGTAACTTGATGCCTAATGTTTTTTTTTTTTGTCATGACCAACTGCCTTTAAAGAAAAAAATATTAGTATCTATGGATGCCTAATGAACTTTTTTTTTCATGATCAACTCCGTTTTAAAGAAGAATTATTTCATATTGTTTGCTTGTCCACTCTGTTTGTGGTGCATAAATTAAATGACGAAGTAGACACAGAAGTCCCTACCATTGGCATCGATCAAGAAAGGATAATAGTCATAATAAACCCTTTCTGAACAGCCCCAAGTGAGGGCTATTAAACAAGTTCAAAGATTCTCATCTTCTTTTCAATTGCAGTTTATTTGAAGCAAACTTTGACAGATGTCTGGTGTTGTGGTCTTGGGATTTTATATTACAACAATCCTTAGAAACTAAGCTTAAACGATCTCAAGTTCCTATTTCTTACCTGAAACTTTGTATGTGCGTAATTGGCTATTAGTGGATAACATTTGTTTTGTATAGTTAGCTTTTAGAAGGATGCGAATAATGTGCATCTGTAGTCATATTGCGTGTTCCATTTGTAGGGATTTTGGTGTGAGAAGTCTTCTTCAATGGCAGGAAAGATCTTATTTTAATGTTTGGTCCGTTGTTAAATTCTATGTTTCTCTTTGAACTTTGGCTACTTGGTCAATTTGTAATTACTCGCTAGATCATATTTTATTGGAGTGAGACCCCTTTTTGTAGCTTGTTGCTTGCTTCATATTTCTTCTGGCCTTTTGTTTTGTATGTCCGTGTATTCTTATGGTTCTCTCTATACAGAGGTCGGCCTGCAGCCGCTGGTAGACGTGGGAGATCACCGTCCTACTCTGCATCACCTAGTCCACGCAAGGTTTGCTGTGATTGATCTTGCCATTTTTTTCACCGCTCTGGGTTTATTATTGTTCGTTCTTCCTTGCATCCCGAGTGCCTTCATTGTTCTCTATTTTATATTACAGGTGCCCAGGAGAGTATCTCGCAGTCCAAGAAGGTAACTCTGTGCATTTGATATTCCAAAAATGTTAGGAATTTTCGATATTCTTGTAGGCCAGTTTGCTGCCCAGTTCAAATCACTTGACTTTTGCATGGACTTTTGCCGTTTCTTTTTAACTAAAGACGAGTGTGTTTCCAAACCCATAAACCACAGAGAGCCACTGCAATTGGATTATTCTATATATCGAGCTTACAGATACCGAGTATAACAAGTCTGGAATGACTTCTGAAAGAAAGTACTTAAACACTGAAGTGTTTTTAAGTTATGTTGTGAGATCCGATATCGATTGGAGCGGGGAACGAAACATTCTTTATAAGGGCGTGGAAACCTCTCTCTAGTAGACGCGTAGAAACTTCTCTTAAAACCATGAGGGCTGATGATAATATGTAATGGGTCATATCTACTAGCGGTAGACTTAGGCTGTTACAAATAACATAAGAGCTAGACATCCGGCGGTGTGCCAGCGAAGATGCTGGTCACCGAAGGGGAGATCCCACATTAGTTGGAGAGAAAAACGAAACATTCTTTATAAAGGGGAAACCTCTTCTTAGTAGATGCTTTATAAAATCGTGAGGCTGATGGGTTGAAGCAGACAATATCAACTAACAATGGACTTGGGCTCGTTACATATGTGCTCTTGATCATCTAACCAAACATCGATTAATTCTCTCTGAATCTTATTATTACGACCATTATTCTAATATACATACATATTTAATTATGTTGTGCGATCGTTTGGTGTATAGGCCTTTAAGAGGGAGAAGCAGCAGCAGGAGCAGTAGCAGTAGTTCTCCACCCCGCAAGCCATAAGAACTCTACACATCTTGCGCCTTCTCACTCCCTAATTCTCTCTTGTTCTATCTGTGTATTCCAAAAGACGCGACAGTTTTTTCCCCACACCTGGTGAAGAGCCGAGCCTTCTTGTAGTGAAAATATTTGTGGATTAAATGCCATTTTGGGCTTGTCAGCAGTAGTTAGTTTCCTGTCACTATTGAATCAAACATTTTGATATCCTTTCTTCTAACTGCACTCTGTAGTATTATTACATTTCTTCTACTATACAAAGGCCCAGACGTCGAGTTCTCCCTTTTCTTATTCGTTTTAGAGACATCCCCTTGTATTTTATGTCGGTCTAGTTTGTGTCTATTCGACTCTTGTGGGGTGGGGGCACGGAAACAAGATGCCTGTCTTTAGGCTTTTCCTATCCTTTCTCGTGAAGAATTTCTGCTCGCAACTTTAGAAAATGATTGATTCAGTTTTTAACCGAATTTTTAATTTTATGATTCATAGGTGTTTGATTTACTCTACAATTTCATTTATCTTGTGAGATTTTTTTAGATAAAAAATTAAAAACCCAAAGATTAAATAGATGTTTTTGAAGTTTAGGAGCAAGATTATGTAGTAAGAGTTGGGGTATATTAATTTTTATTTATTTATTTTAATATCTCCATGGAAATCTTTAATTTAGAAAAATTAACTTTTTCAGGATTGTTTTGGGTTTAAATCCATTTTAAACTTTTAGTTTGTTTTATATTTTTTTGATTTTTTGATTTTTTGATTTTTTTTTTTTTTTTGGAAAACTACGTCGTTTTAAAGGGGGAAAAATACGAGTTCCAGATTTCTATAGATGGTCTATTTTGCGGATATTTTTCATGATTTACAGAAAACGCCATTTGGGACAGTAACGCACCAAATGGAAGGGGAGAAAAACGGCGCATACTTCTTGGTCAAATTGACTCTCTCAGGTCGCTTTTCTCCTCGAACTCGAATTCTCATCCTCTTTTTAATAAATTTCTTTTTTTTTTTTTTTTTTTTTTTTT